AACTTGAACTGAACCAAAACTTTGAGTTCAGGTTTAGTTCAAGTTCATAAATTTAAAGTTCAGTTCAGGTTCAGGTTTAAAGATCTGCAAAATTTAAAGTTCAGTTCAGGTTCAATTAAACTTGAACCTGAATCTAAAATGAACTGAACTGAACTTCGGAACACTACTCAGGGTATATAAAAACTGTCCTGATATTATCAACCCTTGTATATATCATATAATTGCCTAATCCGAGTTAAGTGTAATATATTAAGTAGATAAATATAAAGTAGAAACTAGTTTGTTTAATAGTATATAATTTTTATAAATCTTTACAAGCTTATAATAGTAATATTAGAATAGATAAAATTATTTTGTTTTTGTTTTTATTAATTTTTTTATTCTCTTTTTTTTTAATTTATATATTTTTAATATAGTTTTTTAAATTGTTTTTTTTAATTCTTTTTGTTTTTTATTTTGTATTTTAATAAGTATATAACAGTTTACTACTCATAATCAAAAAAACCAAATCTTTAGAAAATTGAGAATCTAATATAAAACAAACTAACTACTTAAACAGATTACAACTAAATTTTGATTTTAAATAAATTTTTATTAGTAGAACTAAGTATAAAAATTAGTTTAATATAAATATAAATTTTTAATACTTCTAATAAATAATAAAGACAGAATTGCTAAATAAAAAAAATAATAAATTATAAAAAAATAAAAAATAATAATGAATAATAAAAAATAATAAAAATAAATTAAGATTTAGACCTATTAATATAATAATATATACTTCAAATTTTTAAACAAATATTAATAATTTAAATTTTGATAAAAATAAAAAATACTTTATAATATTTAGAAACTTAAACTATAATTAGATATAAAACATGTTTAAAAATATTAAACTAATATAAAATATACTATAGTATATTACAAATAAAAAATAAAAATCTAAAAATTAATATAAAAAATAATACAAGCTATAATACAATACAAAATATATTTAAATTTTAGATAGTAATTAATATAAAAAAGAAAATTACTACATTTCACTACTAGTAATCATCACCAGTGATTTACAATAATTAAAATTAAATTTTTATCAAAACAAAAATTGATTTTGTTAATATTTAGAATAAGGTTTAAAAGCGAATAAAAGTAGGTTTATACTCAGAATTTCACGGAAAATTTTTTTTATTAGAACCCAAAGTAGTTTTGTTATTAAAAATTTTATTTTATATTATATACTGGTGATGATTACCAGTGGTAATAAATAGCAAATATTTATAAAAAATATAATAAAAATTAATTAAAAAACTCATGATCTTATAATATAAAAACTATACTAAAAACAAACCTTAAAATCTATAATATTTGAAATTTTAAATATATAACAAAAAATTATATAAGCTTTTTAAATTTTGTAAAACAAAAAATAATAACTTTAATAATACTATAGCTTAAAACAGTTATAAGACAAGTTGTAATCATCGATATATAAATATTGTTTAGACTGGAAGTTTAAATAAGGTTGGTTTAAAAACCATTCCTAAAGATTAATAATAGCTTTAATAAAGAGTCGTTGAATTCAATAGGCAAAAACCAAATATAATACTTATAAAATAACCACAGTGCTATAAAATATCTTAACGTTAAAAGATATCCAATAAAAAACAATACAAGCAGATATAATTACATAGGTTAGTTTGATACAACTCCTAATTCTGCAGTTAAACTAGTACAACAAATCATATCTAGACACCTTTAGGAATAACCAAATAATATCAGGCTTAAAGATTAAGTAAATATTTATGTAATTAGTTACGCAATAATCTTAATAAAATCGCTGGTAAAACTAACAAAGTTAAAATAATTTTTTTTATAAAATTAAATTTAATAATTAGATTAAAAATAAATTGATTACAATAAAATAGTATATATAGTGATTACAATGCTACATAAAAGTAAATTGCCAACCCAAATAATAGGTCTAGAGTTTAAATTCCACTAAATAAAAAAAATTTAATTTAAAAATCTATCCGTGCTATATAATATCTGTAACTTCGGTCATACCAACAAAATGGATATTAATATTACACAGAACATGGAAGAATACAAATCAATACCGGAGCCAGTGCAAACCTACGATAAGTCTATTGGTTGTATAAATCTAAGAACCTGAAAGAACCATTATGATTTATATTCAATTTTTTTAATCGCGATTAGTAAAACGATAATATTCGAAATAACTTAAATCAGCAAATATTTATTCGAATATTCGCCAAATGACTAATACTTATTATTCAAATAAGTACTATTTATTCGAATATCGTAGTTCTCGGATTCGGTGCATCTAATAATACAGTCACTATATGTGAACCAGTCAATGACTAAAGTTTCACATGAATAATAAAAATTATTCGAATAAATTGCCTATTCGAATTATTCATTAGATAATTCTTTATTCGAATATTCGCCGAACGCGAATATTATTCGAATAACGAATATGAATACGAAGCTCTACGCGTAAATACTTATATATTCTCTAAATCCAAATTTTTCGCGAAGTCCAAAATGTAAATCAAATTTCTTAATCGCCTTTAAGTAGAGATTTAAATTATTTTCATGTTTAAAAGAAACAGCTTCATAACTTTTATTTGTAAGCGACAATCAAAATTTTCATCCTAGAAATATTGAATATTCGATGCTGTACATCTATTTAAATTATATAGTATATACATAAATACAATTGCAATCTATATAAAAATTTTAGGTCATTGGTTTTGATTTACTGTACAGTACGTATTACAAGTAAATTAATATAGGAAATAGTTCAAGACAAAAAAATAATAATTAAAGCGGTTGTATGAAAAATACATCTGTACATTACATGCTATACATGATTTTATTTTGTAAAGGATAATGTGCATAAAATATTTATAATTTCCATGTTGCATTTAAAACGAACAAAATTTCTAATCCAAAACAAATGGAAAAAAATAACTACGTGGTAGCTAATTCAAGCGATGTTTGCGTTAATAGAAATTTTAAATAAAAAATGAAAAAATCTACTAAATAAAGTTTATGTTACCACAGCTCTTCAATTTGATTCGGACGAATCATAAGCTCTGCTGAGATATTGCAAACACATTGACACCAACCAAATCCAGAGTCGCGATAATCTACTTGTAGATTTCCAACCTCAAGCTCTTTTTCTTGTGCGTAACTTTCGATTGCTGCTGTGTATTCATCGCTGTTATTATTGACAAAACAATGCCACGTGATATACCTCAATTCTGCGTTGCAATTCGATAAGAACATCTTTAAAGCTGGTGCTTTAAATGTCCATTTAGTAAGGTCCAAATATCGTAAAGTTTCCGGTACAATTGCCCCAATTTGGGGTAAAATATAATCAGCAGTGAAAAAATTGCTATTATAGCCATGAATAATTAAACTCTCAAGTTGTCTGCATGAACTTAACAATCTGAGAAGTTCAGGAATTTGTTCGTCATCTTTTATGCTTGCCGCAAGCAGTTTAAGATTTGGACAACATTCAGCAATAGTGTCGATGATATTAGGATAAAAATGCAATTCTAGATTTAATCGAATTTCGCGAAGTGTTCCATTTGTTCTTCTAATTATTGCATTTAATTCATTAGAAGGGGGTGTAGTGTCTTCATGATCATCAAGATAATATATGTCACGAACGTCCGTAATTTCTAAAACTTGGAGCCGCGGAAAAGTAACATACACTAAAGGTTTTAAATTGGCAGCAGTAAGTTGGCACTCTGCAATTTTAAGAGTCTCCAAATTTTGACAAGGAGCTAGCCCTTCAAGTGCAGCGGAATCACGAAAAAAAGCATTTTCCAATTGAACCTCAATAAGATTTTCTTGTTGACTGGAAAATGACAAGGTGATAGGTGATAAATCTTCGTATCCACCAGTCCAGCTGAATTTTTGTAGTCTCTTTTGAACGGAGATAAGATTTGCCAATGATTCTATTGCTGAACGATAAGTATCAACGATGACGATAGAATAAAGATTTCTACAATACATCGACATAGTATTAAATATATCCCCTTTGTAGAATTCACCACCGCAAAAAAAATTCTGTTATCTGCGACAAACACTCACTAGCACCTGGAAAGCATGGCAAAGATATATAGTTGACTGATTGACACGACAAATTTCGAGAAAATCCTCGTGTATCCAGAATGAGTTTATCGAATAAATGACATTTACTCATTAACATCATACAAATCTCTCTGGCAATAATTAGTTTTCGACCTTCTTCTGTCATATCAAAAGGCGTCGGCGTGTCAAGCCATTCTTCTCCATGATCACTATGATCCGGTTCAGTAGAAACATCAAAGTGATCATACTCATCATAGTACTGTTCACAATCTTCTTCCCAAGCTTCTTCATAGTCAGCATGGGATTCTGGAGGAGAGAAATCAACATCACTTGTCGCGTCAAAATCTGTACGATTATATGATTCATGAACAAGAGATTGATCACCCCACTCATCCGTATATTCATGGTCTACCCTTACTTGAACATTCTCTTGAATATTATCGAGAAAGGATAATTTTTCAAGTTCGAAATCAATATTTAATAGAGATCTGGGCGCGAAAGCCCCATTAATGGTTGCCCATTCAGAAATCGAATTGTACAATTTTTTAAAATTAAGTTCCTTGAGGAAACTAGGATAGTCAAAAGTCAACCTCTTTTCATCACTAATACATGACATTAAATAATCTAAATGAAAAAAAGATTCTCTGAATTCAGTGGATAGAGAATCAACGTTTATAGAGCTTAAATAAATTGGGACGATTTTGAAAAATGATGATAATTCTGAGTTAATGGTAAATGGTTTTTTCCATAAGAATGGAATAGCGGCTCTACACCAAGAACGATTGACCAACACAGCAGAATGTAAAGTTTTTACGTTATCTTCAGGTATGAAAGAAAAGATGCATTGTAAACATTCGGTAGGAAGATAGGGTGGTGAAATACTTAATAATGACGTAGTTTCAAGGCTTTGAGTCACATCGATAACGTTAGAAGGTTTATGTAAAGTCGGTTGGGACATAATATATATATATATACATACACTCTAGGTTGCTGCGGAATTAAGTTTCTTTATGAAAGTCGGAAAGAGGTTAAACGAATTGTAGAATCACTGATGTATTTATACCTTGAAATTAAGTTATGTCATAATGAAAATTAGCCAATCAAATCTTATAGGCGTGAGAAAGCAGTCACATGCGCATAATTTATTGGGTTACTATAAAAAATTTCTGCATAATTACAGTTTGATCGCCGTGATCATTAATATCTGATGTATTCACTATAATAATAACAACCCCTAGCCTGGCGCACACTTTTCATAGTTGCTTCTTTAGATATATAAAGTAACACCTGACTAGAATTAAGCCCCCGAAATTAGATCTTCATGCATGTAATTCTAGTCAGGTGTTACTTTAGATATTTAAAGTAGCAACTTCAGATCAGAGCACAAAATTCTATTGGAAGTTCTGGTTAATTAAGACAAATTCCGGCGTAATTTTTTAGTAATCAGTTACTTATCATTAGAATATAAAATAATAGCGTAGGCTCGTTATCTCCGCTGCTGGAAAAAATCAGAACACATCATGCCACAATTTGTGCACTGCTTCGGATAGGTGGCTACTTCAGATGCGACATATTATTGATTACCTTAGAACTTTGTAATATTAATACATCGGATAATTCGGTTAAACCATTTGGTTATCCGATTTAAAAAGATGATTGCATGTTGGGATTAATACGGATTGGAACTCTACATGTATGATACGACCAGGGCGGCCGTCGACTTTACGGGTCATGTGGGTAGCGCCACCAATGTCCAATATGTACAATATGCGGG